GATAATTGGGTGCCCAAGGAGTGGATAAGGGGGTGCTGGGGGGGGTTCTGGGTGCCCAAGGAGCGGATGGGGGGTGCTGGGGCTTGCTGGATGCCCCAGGAGGGGATGGCAGGGTGCTGTGGGGAGCACTGGGTGCCCAGGGGTGCCAGGGAGCAGTTTACAGGTCTTTGGGTGTGTTACAAGCACCCAGGCCATGGTTAGCAGCCCACCAGCAGGGCAGGAGGGAGGAGGAAGGGGGGTGCTGGGGGATGGGGATGGGGAAGCTGAGACAGCGAGTGCTCGGGGACCGCAGCGAGATGTCACCGCTTCCTCCCTGACAACACTTCAAAAAGGCAGCGGGCACCACCATCACCCCGGCCTGCACCCCGAGCTCACAGCACCCACCCACTGCTGCTCATCACCTGAGCATCTTCCCCTCCAAAATTTCACACCTTCCCTGCTGCCCGCGATGGCTCGAGATAAGCGTCTCCGGCAGCAGCAGCTCGCCAGCACGGGGCTGGAGCTGAGACCTGACGTGCTCGTGCTATGTGTGACCTGCACAGCCCCTGCCAACCAACCCAGGGATGGTGCTGGCATCCCGGCAGCAGCATCCAGCATCCATCTCTGGATCATCCGTGGAGACGGAATTCCCAGCAGCGTGAGGTGCCCAGGGGTTGGGACAAGGGTCCCCAAATCCTCCCCCCTCCCCGTGCTCCCCCTCGGCCTGCGGTTGCCCTCGGTGTGGGGGTGGCCCTGGCAGCAGGTGCTTTTCGGAAACACCCCCCAGCCCTTCCCAGCCCTTTTGCTTGAGTTGGGTTTTCCTGGAAGGGCCCGAAATCTTAAAATAACCCCGGGGTGTAGAAAACAAAGAGCTTTGGGTCCAGCCACCCAGCTGGCACCTGGCGAGGAGAGCGGGGGCTTGCTGAGGTGCACCGAGTGCGTCGGGTCTCTGCAGCAGCACATGGGGATGCTCCCTGGAGAGGCCTTTGCCATGTGCCCCGGGCTCTTGGGGCACCTGCAGTGGCAGGGACAGAGCCACCCAGGCCCTGGGCTCCCCTGGGTGACACTGACCTGGGGTTTGTCCCTGTGAAGGTGGCTGGTACAGGACATGTCCCTGCGGGTGGTCTCAAAGCACCTGAAAGCTCCTGGGCATGAGGCCCATTTTACAGGTAGGAAAACTGAGGCACAGCAGGAGAAGGGACATGAGAAGGGTCCATCTGGGCTGACCCAGACCCGCGCCACCCCCCCAGGCTGGATTTTGGGGGGGGGTTGAGCCCCTGTGCAAGGCACCCATGGGCACACAGATCTGTATCACCTGCAGGCAGAGCCCCCCCACCAGCTGAACGCTGGGTGCCCCCCCTCCTTGTCCCCATGGGACAGGGACCTGGAGGGTGCTGCTCCAGCCACACCTGCAATGAGTTTCCAGGTCTCAGCTCTGGGGAAGGGGCTGAGGGCAGGACGGGCTCAGCCACAGCTGCCGGCGCTTGGTGGTGACGGCCTGTGGATGTGCCAGCCGGCCCGGCCTCCCCAGGACTTGGGGGGGGGGTCTCTAGCACCCTAAGAAAGAGGAGAGCCCCCTTCGCCAGACCACTGGTGAGAGGAGGAAGACGCAGGGCAGGCCGATGCTTTGGGAGGTGAGACTGAGCTGTGGGAGGAGAAGCTCTGCCCCTTCTCCCCAACCCGGCCCCACGTCGGCCCCCGCCTCGGCTCCCCCCTGAGCCATTTTCTCTCCCACTACCCTGGTTTGCTGTCGGGGGGGAGCAAGGCTTGAACTGGGGTGGGGAGATCTAGGGGATCTTGGTCTGCTGGAGGCTGCTGCCTCGGAGGAATATCTCTTTCAGCTATTGATTTCCCTTTATCAGAGAGCAGGAATATGTATGGGGCTGAAATCCTGATCAATCCCCGCGCTGCGGCCGATCGATCCGCTGCCGCCTGGGGGCTTTTATCGAAGGGAGCTGGGGATGCGAAGAGGAGCTGCCAAATTTGGGCACGACCCATCACTCCAGACCAGGACTGTCTCTACCCATCGTCACCCCTCTCCTGCTTTATCCAAAGGGCAGCGAAGCCGTGGGGTCGCCTGGCACCGGGCAGCATCCCGGCATGTCACCCCACGTGTGAGCTCCTCGTCCTTCCCTTTTGATGCCCCGGGGAGCCCCATTTCTGATGTGCACCAGCTTCCCCCCCCTGACACCGCAGGGACCCCAGAGCCCCAAACTCAGGGGTGTGGGGCACCCACTGACCCACCCCAGAGCTGGAAAGCAGCCCCAAGGGGGCATTTTTGGGGTGTTGGGAAGGAGGTGCCTGGTCATCCTTGGGACACGCCTGTGTCTCTGGTAGGTTGATGCACCCCCAGGCCCGTGTCTCTGGTGCTGGGACATACTGGAATATCCCCCAATCTTGGCCGGGCTCGTTAGAGGCACAGGCCAAACGGGGGGTGCGGGGGCTGGCGAGGGGGAGGAGCAGCACCGTGGCCTCTGTTATTGATTGTTTCGTAGCCAAAGGTCAGCGGCGAGCGTGCAAGGATGGGGAGGAGGGCAGTGGGTGACTCTGGGACACAAGGGGCTCGCTGGGTGATGTGGGGGGCAAGGGCCAGCCTTGGGGAGCATGGGGCACTGAGCCGGCGTGGAGACCCTGATGTGGGTTCCCATTGCACAGGCACCCACTGGCCACGGATCCCCATCGTGCCTCAGTTTCCCCACCAGCAGATGGGTTGGCGAGGCTGCGTGGAGGTCGGCAGCACCCTGGGCTGTGCGCGGGGGGGAAGGAGGCACCGGGGGCTGCAGGGGAGGGTCTGTGCCCACAGCAGGGGAGGGGGAGGTGGGCTCAGTGGGGGTTGGAGGAGGTTTGTGTGTGTCTGTGGGCAGTCAGGAGGGTCATGCCTGTGGGATGGGCAGGGAGAGGGCTCGACTTTCTCTGGTTTGGGGCTGGTCTGTGCCTCCTCACTGGGGGGTGGCGGTGCTGGGGGACGGTGCCAGAGCCACAGCCCCACTAACACAGTTCCCCAGACCCTTCAGCTCCCCAGGCCCAGCCCCGATGGGGTTTGCAGCACCATGAGGACACCGGTGTCCATCTCTGCCAAAGCTGTGGCCCCCCACGCCCAGGCTTTGCACATCCCCCGGGCCTCATCCTGCCAGGCTCAGGACGCGGCCAGAGCCGAGCAGCCCCCAGGCAGCACCGTGCTGCCCGTGCGGGGTCTGCGATGCCGGACCAGGGGCCGCACCACCGGCACTGGAGCTCTGGCAAAGCACTGCCTGCCCTCGCCCCGGCCGTGCCGCGAGGGGGAAGATTTACAGGCTGTCAGAGCTGGGGCCAGAGGTCAGCAGGGGTCAGAAAGTCCATTTCGAAGAGGTCACTGTCCACTTCTTTCAATCTAATGAAGCCATTATTTGTGAAAGCGGCCGCTTTGCCGGCTATTCCCTTGAAGCCGAGCAGGGCACAGCGACCGGCTCTGAAAGAACAGGAAGGAGTCCCCTTCCCTTTCGCATTTGCCATTCAACAGGCCCCAAAAACAAATACACCACACACAGAAATATGACGTGGGGCCGTCGCTGCTGCGGGGCTGTGTCACCGGAGCTGGCGGAGATGAGGTTGGGATGTAAGGGGACATTGGCTGGAAGCGCTCAGGGATGTGTCTGCATCACTTGGGTGGGAAGTCACCAAGGATGAGCAGAAATCGTGGGAGGCTGAGAAACTGCTGCTGAGCTTAAATAGTTACAGGAAAGTGTCTCGGGGGGCTGCAGGTCCCTCCTGTCCATCAAGAAGGGGTTTTGGGAGGAAGCTGATGTGCAGTGATGGATTATTGTCTGAAGGATTCAGTTTGGAGAAACCAAGGGCTCATTCCTCACCACATCCTTCCCCCTCAGCCCTGCACCTCTGCCCACCTCCCACCCCACTCAGAGTGTCCTGCCGACCCCAGGATACTGTCCCCAAGCCGTGTGGCTGCTGGCACTGGGGTGTCCCCTCCACGGACAGAAGGGATGGAGCCATTTCTCAGGGCTGCTCTGCAAACCTTGGCCCCAGCCCTGCCCAGTGCCGGGGGCTTGTTCAGGTGCCCCTTATCCCCCACGAGTGGGCTGGGGTCGCTCATGGGTTTTTTTTTTTCAGAAGCACAGCAGTGAAACACGCAGGCTGACCCCTCCCCAAATCCCGGGGGAAGGTGAGGCAGGAGACATGAGCCAAGAGGAACAGAGACACATGGAAGAGTCTCCTGCAAGTCTTGGGGGGGACTTTCCCCCCTTCTTTCCTCTCACCCCAATAATCCGACAAACAAGAGGAGAACAAGAATAAATGCAACCTGCAGGCCTGGCCCTCGCTGGCCAGGAGGGGGTACCAGATGCACCCCGGCTTCCACTGCCACCAGGACGGTCCCACAGCGGGTCCCCACCCAGGACGGCCGTGGGTACTGGCAGGGAAAGGGGGAGTGTGAACGTGAGCAAGTGTGAACATGCCCCGTGGTCTCTCCAGCCCGGTGGCCCCTCCGCCAGCCCCATCCCCTGGGAACATCTCTGCAGGCAGAGCCTGGTCACGGGTGGGAGTGGGGATCCCAGTCTGTGCCTAGGAAGCACCCGGCCGGACTCTGCTCTCCTGCTGCCGCAGATGAGGGGCTGCTCCTTGGGTTTGGACTCAAGGCTGATGTTAAGAGACCAGTGGAGTTTCCTCCCCCGGCCCTGTCAATCCTAGTTAAAACTGGCGTAAAGATGAGGCGACACCCTATGAGCATGCTAAGAATTATTAACGCTGCTGTGGGCAGGTCATGGGCATCCTCTGCCCCACCCGTGCTCCGTGGGACCCTGGTTCACCCGCACGGAGCTCACGGAGCCCTGACGGGGCATGAGAGGCAGCTGCCCTCCCCACGCCGCCTCGGGGGTAGCACTACCCCCGCCCCGGCCGCATCCTGCCCTCGGAGTGGAAAAACCATCCTCCTCCTCCTCTTCCTCCTCTTCCTCCTCCTCCTCCTCCACTGACATCACCCCAGACACGCGGGTTGGAGTCTGGTGGGGCTTGCTGGGCTCTGCGGGGAAGGGGCACCGGGTGTGGGCAGCCTCGGTGGCAGGAGGGGGTGTGTGCGGGGCAGGGGGAGGAGGAGGAGGAGGAGGAGGAGGAGGAGGAAGGGCAG